AGTAGTCCAGCATCCTGTCTCACACAGTGGCTAGCCAGTTCCTCTGGAGGGCCAACAACAGGGCAGAGAGGCCAAGGCCTCCATAAGAACATAAGAAGAGCCCTGCTGGATCAGACCAGTGGTCCATCTAGTCCAGCATCCTGTCTCACACAGTGGCCAGCCAGTTCCTCTGGAGGGCCAAGAACAGGGCATAGAGGCTGAGGCCTTCCCCTGATGTTGCCTTCTGGCTCTGGGATTCAGAGGTTGACTGCCCCTGAACAGGGAGGTTTCATTTAGTCACGATGGCTAGTAGTAACCACTGATAGACCTATCCTCCATGAATCCGTCTAATCCCCTTTTAAAGCCACCCTGTAGAAAATGTATCTGTCTGTCCGTCTGTCTCATTTCATCTCTATAGGATGCTATGTACAAACATACTCAGAGACCGCCCATTCCTCAGCTCTTGCATAATTCATCGTTCCTCTTCCACAGGTACAATGGCTCTCTTCCAAACGGAGACAGAGGAAGAAGAAAAAGCAGATTTGCTTTATTCAAAAGGCCCAAAGCCAACGGGGTGAAACCAAGCACCGTACATATTGCCTGTACGCCCCAGGCAGCGAAGGTAAGCTTGACAAACGAGCTACCATTACCAAAGGACAGGCGTCTTTGTCTTTTTTTTGTTGTTAATACACCGGCGAGCATATTGTAAATGAAGTGGGTGGAATCATTCCAATGCAAGGCCTGTGATTCTGAAAAGGCCAGTCTGTCCTTGGGGAGAAGAAAGAAAACGTTTTGTATTAGAAAGCGTTCCGTGAGCCGCTTCCTTCAGTAATTGCGCTGTTCCTGTTTTCAAGATTCAGGGAGCCCACGAGTGTGGCGGTCCCATATGGACCCAGGAACTCACGGGGACCCCCGTTCAGAAAGGATTCGTCTGCATTTGGAGGGTCAGGGGTTTGCTTGTTTAGAAAATGTATCAGCCACCTTCCTGGAGACCTGCTCAAGGCAGTTCACAAAGTACAAACGTAGCCATAGAATTGTTAAAAACTACAACACAAGAGCCGTGGCTAATGAAACAGCCCATAAAAACAGCATAAAACTACATGCATACTAAAATTATATCCGCAGACAGCTTGCAGTCTAGAAACAGATCATGACAAAATCAGTGGTATATGACACTGTGCGGGTATAGGGATGCCGGCCTCCAGTGGGGCCTGGGGACCCCCCAGAATTACAGTTCATCTCCGGACCAATGCTCCCTCTAAGCTGTGGAGTCTTGTGAGCAAAAATTCTAGTTTGTGAGCTCCCGGCATTAAACGTCGTGAGCGAGCGATTGGGCTGCTGCATCAATTAGTTTGCTCTGGAACCTTCCTTCCTGAGCGAAGACAAAAACGTGTGAGCCGGAGGCTAAAAAACTCTGAGGTAGTTCACACGAACTCAGCTTCGAGGGAACACTGCTCCAGACGACAGAAATCACTTCCCCTGGAGAACATGGATGCTGTGGAGGGTGGACTCTGTGGCACTGTACCCCACTGAGGTCCCTGTCCTCCCCGGGATCCACACCCCCAAATCTCCAGCAGTTTCCTAACCTAGATCTGGCAACCCTATCTCTCCTCCTCCCGCCAGGGGTTAGGGGGCCCTGGCAAACGTATCTGGGTAGGAGTGACATTTTTGCCATTGAGCGGAGAAGTAGGCTTGCCAAGTCCCCCGTACCCGCCGCCTGCAGATCGGGCCCCAGGGGGAACCCCACCCCCAAAGCATGTGACGTACCCGGCGTCAGCACGTCACTTGGAAGTGATGCAGCAACGCCGGGCGCGCCAGGGGCGAGGCCGCGGTCACTTCCGGGTGACATGGTTGCGGCACGCACACGCTTTACGCACGCTCCCGGAACGGGGCTGGAGTCCCCCGCTGTACATACAGCGGGGACTTGGCAACCCTACGGAGAAGCCCTCACTGCCTCATTATTGGTTTTGAAATAAGGAAGGGGCTCGAATTTCATCTTCCAGCTCCTCTGTTTGCAAGTTGTGCGAGTTCCCGTATCACCCCCACCCAAGCTGGGGGCTCGTCCACCTGGTCAGTTACAGACAACGAGGCATTGTCTCTGAAGGCAAAATGGCCACCATCTCCCCCAAGCCGCATGGCCTTAGCCTGTCAAATCATGGGGCTTAATCCTCTTTGCTCGATCCGTGCCTTTTCTACGAGCCGTAGATTTCCATTCCCTTTTGTCTCCTGGTAGCGCCCGTATTGTCCGGGCGACTTCATTAAAAATCACCGCAGGGGTACCGGCGTGAGTAGAAACGTCTGTTTAATGACAGCCTATCCTCCTCCCCGCTGTGTCCCCGAGGGTAATAGCTGTGAGGACGGGGGAGAAGAGGGCTATGTCAGCCATCACGCTCTGCGCCTCATCGGTTCTGCCCGGTGCTTAATCATCCCAAGCATCTTAATCACTCGGTGTGTCTGGGCCGACATATGGCCAGCAGTAGGCATGACTAATGCGCCCGTCGTCTCGTAGCAACATGCGTTCTCTTGCAAAGCACCAAGTACGACCAGTTAGGTCTGTTCCGTTGGGTAGATCAGTCATGCGCTTAGAAAAACAAAACAAAAGGAGTGACTTCTGGGTAATTCATAGTTGTTGAAGGGACACACCTGTACCTAATTAGCATGGGTAGGCTCAGTCTTTCGGCGGGCTCGACAGGTGGCTGACAGTACTAGCTTTCTAGCTGCATGCTTTGTATATAGACAGGTCCCAGGAGTGATTAAGGGTCTCTGCAGAAGGTCCGATGTGGTAGAGCTGAAATGCCTCTCTATAGCAAAAGGGCAACCGATTTGAAGGCCGAACAGAGATGTTCCCCCCCTCCCATGCCAGTTTGGTGTAGTGGTTTGGTGTAGTGGTTAAGTGTGCGGACTCTAATCTGGGAGAACCGGGTTTGATTCCCCACGCCTCCACTTGCACCTGGCTGGATGACCTTGGGCAAGCCATAGTTCTGATAAGAGCTGTTCTTGAAAAAGAGCCGTTTCTGTCAAGAGCTCTCTCAGCCCCACCTCCCTCACGGGGTGTCTGTTGTGGGGAGGGGAAGGGAAAGTTGTTTGTAAGTCGCTCTGAGACACCTTTGGGTAGTGAAGGGCGGGGTATAAATCCAATCTCTTCTTCTTCTTCCCGTGGAACAAAGGAGACCCCTGGTGGATCAGGCCGGAGGTCTCTCTAGTCCACCATTTTGTTTTCCACACCGGCCAGCCAAGATAACAGACAGACAGCCTGGTATAGTGGTTAGAGGGTCAGAACAGCGTCTGGAAGGACTCAGGTTTTGAACCCCCACACTGACTTGGAAGTCTGCTGGGTAACCTTGGCCCGGTCACGCATTCCCAGCCTCCTCTACTTCGCAGGGTTGTTGTGATTGGACCAGAGCCGTGAGCGTAGCTGGAGGTAGAAGTGAAACCGTTGCCAAACTTTTGTTACGTTCTGGGCCAGACCGTAGATGGAGGTAGAAGTGAAACCGTTGCCAGACTTTTGTTAAGTTCTGGACCAGACCGTAGATGGAGGTAGAAGTGAAACCGTTGCCAGACTTTTAAAAAGTTCTGGGCCAGATTGTGCCTTGACGGTCCTTCTAGAAATGCTGCCGGGGGAGGGGGGGACCCGTTAATCAGGAGTCTTTGAAATAAATGCTGCCGTTTCATGACTCCCCGTATGAAGCCTCTTTAAAATCGCAACACCAGCAAGACCACAAGTGGGTTTCCTGGCAGCGTTTGCTCCGTTGTGATGAATAAATTCTACATTATTATTCTAAATGGGAGGGGAAGGGACCCAGATATTAGGTAGGTAGAGAGCGCCTGTTGTGTAGGGCCCAAGGGCCGTTACAGTTAGGCCGCGCATAAAGGAACGCGGGACAAACTACAAACATGCTTCTCTTCTCCTCGACAGGCAATAAGTAACAAGGACCAGCATAGTATATCCTACACCTTGTCTCGCGTCCAGACGGTGGTGGTTGAATACACACATGACAGCAATACGGATATGTTTCAGGTAAGGGATGTGCGCCCGAGAAGGAAGGACGCAAATGCCTGTTGTGATATTTACCCGTCTAGACCGTGGCGACCCTATCCCCCCCCCCCCCCCCCCAAAAAAGTGGTCTGAGCCAAGGTGGCCTGGCCTGGCCACGGGGCATCAGAAGCAGCCGGCCAGACTGGCAGCAGTGGACTTGGCCCTAACTGGCACAGTGATCGAGAAGGGAATCTCATATCTTACGCTATAGCCTTCTGCGACTGAACAACAACAACAGTAAAGTTTCCCTGTGAACACTGGAAGAGACGGCAAGGCACCAGAATAACGTGGAGCTCCATATGCTGCAAACTTGTCATTTTTAAAAACCAGATTAACTCAGATTAGCTGTTGTAGATTTTCCGGGCTGTACGGCCGTGGTCTTGGCATCGTAGGACCTGACATTTTGCCAGCAGCTGCGACTGGCATCCTCAGAGGTATAACACAGAAAGATGGAGTACTCTCTGTGTCAAGGTGAGAAGGAAAATGGTAGGCAGGTGATTTATATCTACTCAGGAAGGTGGGGTAGGGCTGAGTACACCTTCCTGAGTAGATTTAAACTTCCCACCAAAGCGGGTACCTATTTATTGACTTGCAGTGTCTTGCTTTCGAACTGCTAAGTTGGCAGGAGCCGGGGCCAGAGACGGGAGCTCACTCTGTCCTGTGGCACTTGGGTCTCGAACTGCCGAACTACAGACCTTCCGGTCTGCAGCTCAGCGTCTTCACCTCTCAGCCACCGCGGCCCCTCTATTAACATACTTAGCAGTTATCATAGCTATAAACAATGAGGTATTCAAGGAAGCCTCTACTGCGTAGCTGAGTCATCGTCCTGGTCCAGCTTGGGCTCAGCATAAACCGGGAGCGGCCGGCTCGCTACGCACACTAATCGTCTCCTTTTACAAGTTTATGTACTTTGACCGTTCATCACCAGCTGGGAGTGGTCTACACCCACTCTGACGGGATCATTTACACCCTTGATTGGAGCTCTGTAGAGTCATGTGGCACACCCACATGGTGGAATGATGTCTGACCTCACACTTTCTTTCTTGTTTAAAAAAAAAAGGTGAGAAGGAAAATGGTAGGCAGGTGGGTTATATCTACTCAGGAAGGTGGGGTAGGGCTGAGTACACCTTCCTGAGTAGATATAAACTCCCTGCCTACCATTTTCCTTCTCACCTTGACACAGAGAGCACTCCACCTTTCTGTGTTACACCTCTGAGGATGCCAGTCACACCTGCTGGCGAAACATCAGGTCCTACGATGCCAAGACCACGGCCTTACAGCCTGGAAAATCTACAACAGCTAACGAACTCCGGCCGTGAAAGCCTTCGACAACATATTAAACTCAGACTAATATTACATTCAGATTAAAATGAGTTAGTTTCAGAGGGTAGCTGTGCTGGTCTGCGAGACTGTGATAGGTTCAAGTCCAGTAGCACCTTAGAAACCAACAAGATTTTGCCCTGACCTGGATAGCCCAGGCAAGCCCGATCTCATCAGATCTCGGAAGCTAACCTGGCAAGTACTTGGAAGGGCGACCTCCAAGGAATACCAGGGCCAGGGACACAGAGGCAGGTTATCAAGCCACCTACCTGGAAACGTCCTAGCCCCACTAGGGGTCACCAGAAGTCGCCATGACTTCCAGGCTCCCTAGCACACACACACACAAACACACACACACAAAATACACACAAACGCACACACACAAAATACACACAAACACACATGCACAAAATACACACAAAATACACACAAACGCACACGCACAAAATACACACAAACACACACGCACAAAATACACACAAACGCACACACAAAATACACACAAACACACACATGCACAAAATACTCACAAACGCACATGCACAAAATACACACAAATGCACACGCACTAAATACACACAAACGCACATGCACAAAATACACAAAAACGCATACGCACAAAATACACACAAACACACACACACAAAATACACACACATGCACAAAATACACACAAATGCACACACGCACAAAATACACACAAATACACATGCACAAAATACACACAAACGCACACACACAAACACACACACACACAATACACACAAACGCACACACAAAAAACACACACAAACACATACATGCACAAAATACACACAAACACACACATGCACAAAATACTGACAAAAAAAGAAAACCAACCAACCAGATTTTCAGGGTATAAACTTTCCAGCGTTAAAAGCTCGCTTCATCAGATAACGAAGGGAGTTTTGACTCCCGAAAGTTTATACCTCGAAAACCTGGTTGGTCTGAGGTGCTTCTGGACTCAAATCTAACAGAAATGAATGTTTCGGTCGTTTTTTGATTAGTTAGGATCCAAATGTGTAGCCTTTTAATTAATTGATTTATTATATTCGATTGATTGGCCACCCTTCCCTGCGAGCGGGGCTCAGGGCGGCTTACATCAGAAATAAATACAATATAATTGAGTTAAAACAACGTTAAAATACTTAAAAACAGTCAGAAAGACGACACTGATGCCAAGAGGATGGTAATTTCCACCAGCCCCCTGGGTGGAGGGGATATGCAAGAATTGAAAGGGGAGGTTGAAGTCAGTGCTCCCTCTAAGCTGTGGAGTCTTGTGAGCAAAAATTCTGCTTTGTGAGCTGCTGACATTGAAGTTGTGAGCGAGCGATTTGGCTGCTGCATAAATTAGTTTGCTCTTCTGGAGCCATCCTTCCCCGAGCCAGGACAAAAATGTGTGAGCTGGAGGCTAAAGTACTGTGAACTAGCTCACACTCTGACGGGGATAGAAGGACTCAGAGATCTCCAGCTTGTATCTGACGAAGGGCCCTTTGACAATCCTATACACAGCTCGATTCGAACCCAGTAGCACCTTAGACACCAAGAAGATTTTCACACTAACTCAGCTTAGAGGGAACACTGGCTGGAGTATAAGCGTGCCAGACCATCGCCGTCCTCCACCAAAGGCCTGGCCGAACATCTCCGCCTTACGAGCCCTACGGGAAAGTAGCCAATCCCGTAGGGCACGGATGTTCTCCAACAGAGGGTTCCACCAGGCGGGGGCCAGGGCTGAGAAGACCCTGGCCCTAGTCGACGACGGCCGGATCTCTCTTGTGTCGGGGACTACCAGGAGAGTCTTATTCCTCTTCCAGGGACATATCGAGAGAGGCGGTCCTGAAGGTAGGTGGGTCCCCGACCGCTCGTGGCCTTAAACGCCAAAACCGAGACCTTTGCCCTCATTGTTTCTGCTTCGAAAAATTGTAGTGGAAATCAATATGTAATTTCTTGGTTATTGGTAGGGTTGCCACAGCCAGGGCTATTTTTGGGCAGGAAAAACCCCCGGATTAAGTACATTTTGCATTGGGGCTATTGCTGAGAAGGCCCTGCTGGCAGATGTTGTTCTTGCATGCCCTCGAGACAGTATTCTGAGAAGATCTTCACTAGCAGATATTAAGGAGCAGAAGCTCTTGCTAAGCAGTAGATGCTTCTGGAGACGATCAGGATGTAGATCGTTTAAAGCTTTCAGGCTCAAAATCAGCACCCGAATTGTGCCTAGAAACATGCAGGTAGCCAGGGAAGTTGTTCGAGTTTCAGTGTTGCTTACTCGGGCCACAGCGTTTTTGAAGGAATTGTAGTTCTCAGACAACCTTCAAGGGACAGCCCCATACACGTTGCATTGCAGTTGTCTAATTTACGAGTCTACAAGTATTGTCCAACAATAGTACCTTTCTGTTCTAGATGGTGGGTGCAGCTGTGCAGTCTAGCTTTCTCGATCGATCGATTGATTGATTTCACTTATACCCCACTTTTCTTTCAAGTGAGGGCCCAAACGAACTTAACATTGTTTTAATCTTTTCCGTTTTTATCTTCACAAAAACCCTGCGAGGTGGGGGAGGCTGAGAGCGTGTGATCGGCCCAAGGTCGGCCAACGAGCTTCCATGATAGAGTGGGGATTTGAACCTGGGTCTTCCAGATCCTCGTCCGGGCACTCTAGCCCCTATATCATGCTGGCTCTCCAGCTGTGAAATACAAATGGCACTTTCACACAGACGAGATAACGCACTTTCAATCCACTTCCAATGCACTTTGCAACAATGCACTTCACAGAGACGAAATAACGCACTTTCAATCCACTTCCAATGCACTTTGCAACTGGATTTTAGTGTGTGAAATGGCCAAATCCACTTGCCCAGCGACTTGCAAACAGTCGCTGAAGTGGACCGAAACCGCATTATCTAGCATGCCAACACACAAAATCCCAGTCACATAACCAATAAACGAACAATGGATGAACAGTAAACAAGCAAGTACACATAAACAAAGAACAGATAAAACGGAGCTCAAACGCAACACAACTCTCTCATCTGCAGACCGGAGGCCCATTATCTAGCATGTGTCAAAAGTGCCCAAAGTTTGGTAAACTTGCCAGAAGTATAAGAAAATGACTCACTGCAACCAAACTGTTGGAAATAAAATAGTCCGATGGCTTGGGTGAAATCGTTAGCTGAAGACTCGGGTGCGGCTGGGTGGAACGATAAAGACTGGCTTACTGGACTAGTCCTCGTTTTACACGGAAGCTCCTCTTTCTCAGTCATTTGTATCATGAATCTGTTTGTCTTTATTTTTACCAGATTGGCCGATCGACAGAAAGCCCGATCGATTTCGTCGTGACCGATACTGTTCCCGGCAGCCAAAGCAATTCAGAGACTCAGTCCGTGCAAAGCACCATCTCGCGGTTCGCCTGCAGGATCATATGCGAACGCAACCCTCCTTTCACGGCAAGGATCTACGCCGCCGGATTTGACTCCTCCAAGAACATTTTTTTAGGGGTAAGGAGCTGCGTGCCTCTGCCACTCGGTGCTTGGTTCCCAAACGATCTGAAGTTTAGTTTGGATTCCGACAGAAACACGGAGGGGGCCGTGGCTCAGTGACTCGGGTCTCGAACTGCTGAACTACCGACCTTCCATAGCCTGCAGTTCAGCGTCTTAACCACTTGAGCCACCGCAGCTCCTAATCATGCATATAGAAATGCTAAAAAATGATTAAGAACAATAATCATGCGGTTCAGGATACAAGTACCTAATCCCAGTATCAAGGCAAATAGCAGTTTACAAAAATACAGGTTTAAAAGAACCTATTGTCTCTGTTTGCAAGAACCAATACCACACGTGTTTTGGCACAAGGCCTTCCTCAGTGGTATAAATTAAATGGAGCACTCCATTAATATAACAATTAAATACAGAAAACTGACCGTACAAAGAATACACCTTACTCACATTATGACGGTCACTCGTGGAGTAAGAGGTATCAAATTTTCTTGCAATCACCCTAACCTGGATAGCCCAGACAAGCCCGATCTCGTCAGATCTCGGAAGCTAAGCAGGGCCGACCTGGCAAGTACTTGGGAGACCTCCAAGGAATACCAGGGCTGGGACGCAGAGGCATACAATACTGTTGGGTATTACAAGTTGAAAACACTCAGTATATCTGGGGTTAACTCTAGGAATCGCCAGAAGCAGGGCTCTTTTTGTAGCAGGAGCTCCTTTGCATGTTAGGCCACACCCCCTAATTGTAGCCAATCCGAATGAGTTTCTGCTGTTGGGTGTGGCCTATTATGCTAATGAGTTCCTGCTGGGCGTGGCCAACTCGGGTGCCAGCCGGAACTCCGTTCCTGCGCGTTCCTGCCCAGAAATAGCCCTGGCCAGAGGTCACCACGACTTCTAGGCATGCAAGCACACACACACAAACACACACACACACAATGCACACACACAAAAATTCCCCTTGTAAATCCATCATGGGCAACCCATCAAAATGCAAAATATTTCCTTTGCCCCTGGATCTTCTTAGGTCAGATCAGAGATACTTCCAGACTCCAGTGGAGTGCTCAGGAACAATGAATTGATATTTGCCTTGATACTGGGATGAGGTACTACGTTTGTTGTTAACATTTTGATGTAGTGGTTAGCAATGCTCCCTCTAAACTGTGGAGTCTCGTGAGCAAAAATTCTACTTTGCGAGCTGCTGGCATTAAAATTGTGAGTGAGCGATTTGGCTGCTGCATCAATTAATTTGCTCTGGAGCCGTCCTTCCTGAGCGAAGACAAAAATGTGTGAGCCGGAGGCTAAAAAACTATGAGCTAGCTCACACTAACTCAGCTTAGAGGGAACACTGGTTAGGACTCTAACCTGAGAGCACCGGGTTTGATTCCCCACTCCTCCACATGGCAGCTGCTGGTGTGACCTTGGGTTCTTTCAGAGCTGTTCTCTCAAGGGCAGTTCTCGAGAGAGCTCTCTCAGCCCCACCTCCCTCACAGGGTGTCTGTGGTGGGGAGGGGAAGGGAAAGGAGTTTGTAAGCCGCTCTGAGACTCCTTTGGGTAGTGAAGGGTGGGGTATAAATCCAATCTCCTCCTCCTCCTCCTCCTCTTCTTCTTCTATTTTAATCTCTTTTTCATTGTTCCAACCTCCTGGCTTACCCTCCTTGCGCAAGGTTGCTTTTTTCTCCCCATTTTTTGGTTGTACTCATCCGATTCAGTCTAAGGCAGCTTCAGGGGCGAGAAATCTGAGGATGAGTGAATGAATAACAAAGCCCCTCTTGTTGATGGTCTCCTTGCAGGAGAAAGCAGCTAAGTGGAAGACCTCCGATGGGCAAATGGACGGGCTGACCACGAACGGGGTCCTTGTTATGCATCCGCGGAACGGCTTCACGGAAGACTCCAAGCCAGGGGTGTGGAGGGAGATCTCTGTCTGTGGGAATGTGTTCAGCCTCCGCGAAACGAGATCTGCCCAGCAGAGGGGCAAAATGGTAAGAATAGCAAGTTTGCACGACCCTCTCCTGCTGGTTGCCTGGCACTGCCTGGTATCACTCACTGCCTGGGACTGCTTGGTGACCCTACTCCTAAAGGAGGGAGAGAAAGAGCCAGTTCCAAACCACATGCGGCCAGGCCTGTAGCTATGGCACAACTTTTGGGGGCTCTGCCCCACAGCCCCACAAGAATTACTCCTGTAAATGCTTCTTTCAATCATTTAAAAACATTTTTTTTAAAAGGTGTGTACTCCTTTAGGCAGAGTGGGGGGCTGTAGTTGACCAATTCCCGCACTGAGCCAGGGGGTTGGAGTAGGTGACCTCTAGGATCCCTTCTAACTCTGTGTCAAGAAACTGGCCTCCTTTAAGAGAGTTTTCCTGCCTCAGTGTTTGCTTTCTGGACTGTAGAAGTCCTCACCCCCACCTGCCGGCTTGTTCTCAGAGTTGTTGCTTAGCTCCAGAAGTGATGAACTTGCAGCAGCTGAGAACTGTCATCTCAAGTGGTTGACAGCTTGCAACGTAGAGCTCTCTCCTGGTCACAGCTTTCTATGGGCTAAATGGCTTTTCTTTCTGCCCTGAGAACTTCAGCCCCACCAGGAAAAAAGATTGTCCCACAAGCCACAAGATCCTGGCTGCGGGCCTGCATGTGGTTTGGCCGTGGGCGTCTTTCCCCCGCTTGGTGAGGGATGAGTGCCACCAGTGCCAAGGGACAAGAGCTGCCCCTCCCGCGGGGCTGGGGTGGCCCTCTAGGCCATCAGCCCACTGGATCCTTCCCCCCATGGCCTTAATGACCAATCCACCCCTGCCCGACCGACTACAACCATGCTGAGACTGATTGTTTGTTCCCTCCCATACCATAAATAATAAATAGGGATCTTCCTTTTTAATGCTGACGTGTTTTCTAGATAGTTTCCACGTTTCGAGGCGAAACCTTCTTCTAAGCTACAGTTTTGGAATGATGGGATTTGCTTAGAAGAAGGTTTCGCCTCGAAATGTGGAAACCTATCTAGAAAACACGTCAGCATTAAAAAGGAAGATCCCCATTTCTTATTTATGGACTCTAATACACAATAAGAATTAACCCTACATTAGAGCCCTCAACCAACTATGCGTCCTCCTCATTGGTTCTAAACTTGAACCCAGTGAAAGCGGTTATATTGTCCAGTGACTGACCAGTCGTAACCTTGAACAATAAGAAGCGATACATTTTAAATCCTCAATTGAAGATCTCAGAGGCCAAAAAACCCACTCTCTTAGCAACAGTAACTAGGCACTGGTTCCACCGCTTCACACTTCTGTCACTTTACCACCCTCACAGAAGCAAAAGCACCTCACGTTTACCTCACAATTCCACCAATTCCTTAATGTTAAACAATACCTGCTTCGTTAGCTATGCTCTTTTCATATATCTGGTAACGATTATTTTATCTGTTTCTCCACACGGAGGAAAGGAAAGGTTTAACTAGATCGGGAAATGCTTTTTAGAATTTTATAAACCAGAACCGGATGAGGATCCAGTAATGTAATAAAAGGCAAAGAGAGAGAGAGAGAGATGGATAGAGGTAGATAGATAGATATAGATAGAGAGATAGAGATAGATAGATATGGGCCCCGGTCACACAGGCCGGATATCGCGGGGGGGAGGCGTGGCTGTTTGCCCAGGAGCGAACTACCGCGCGGCAGCTGGATCAAACGTCCCGCCCGACGTCCTGTGGTTGGGGGGAGGTGCCGATCATACCTCACTCCTGTGGTGCGGCAAAGAAGCGGCGCCACGGGGGGCCTAGTTCTGTAAGGTGTATAACATACATAACTTTTTGTGGAAAATGTCCTAGGATACAATAGCTCTGAAATGTTTGGATTAAATTAAAATGCAAATAAAAAAATTAGGGTGCACAACTGGACCTAATGCGTATTAAAACCTCCTCGCTGTGAGAAATCTACATAATCCACAAGTCTAGCTTGCTTTTCTTGTATTGAAATGTTGACAGAGATACAACAGGGGGAGGCCGGCTAACTAACACCCGTGAAGCTGTGTTGTAAAAAGAAAAATGATTTCCCTATACTGGCTCGGATCCAGTGGGAATTTCCATGGCGTCTCCACTCCCATGTGCCTTCTGAAATGCTCCTCCTAGGAGACGACAGGGAGAAGTCAGGGGTCTGCAACTGGGAATGGTGAAAATCACATCCCTTCTGCCTGTAGAAACCTTCCGTGGGGTCTTCGCGGTGCCTGAGGTAATAGTAACGCGTGTTCAGTTCTTGGACACGGGAAGAACGAACACACTTAAGGGACTGTGTTTGATTCTGGTATCAAAAGCCATTCACACTAAACTCTGTGAAACTCCTGAGGAGAGCAATTAAAATAAAACAAATAAATATAAGTTGGGAACATAGAATTAGATACAAGGAGTAACTATTAGAAAGGAGGAAATAATATAGGAGTTGAAGTATTATAACAAGGGCATAGCAAGAAGGTGAAGGGTGTGCTCCCCCAAAGACCTCTGGTGAAAGGGTGGAGGTTACCCTCCTGCTGTAGGGATTTTCCCTA